GCTTGATTTAATCTGAGCCAGAAGATGTCTGCGTCTGTCTTTAACTGGGAGATGTATCAGAATAAATCTATGGTCTATTTAATCTGAGCCAGAAAATGTCTACTGGAAGAAGTCTAAGAATAAATCTATGCTTGATTTAATCTGAGCCAAAAGATGTATGTGTTTGTCTTTAACTTGGAGAAGTATCAGAATAAATCAATGGTCGATTTAATCTGAGCCGGAAAATGTCTACTGGAAGAAGTATCACAATAAATCTATGGTCGATTTAATATGAGCCAGAAAATGTCTACTAGAAAAAGTATCAGAATAAATCTATGCTTGATTTAATCTGAGCTAGAAGAGGTCTTTTTTTAGAATGATCCTCTGAGGAAATTGCTAAAATAGCCCTTTTGTCAGATGTAGCCTTGGAGAAGACTGTTGGGTCATATAAGTAGTTGATGATGCTTGTTTGTTGATTGATCTTTCCTAAAAAGGTAAAGAGTTAGTTGTATGCAATATCATGATGTATGAAATGCATTGCGTAATGATGTTCTCCAAAATAAATGAGACCGTTATATATGCGTTTCGTATGCATATGCTATGATATTGGAAAATGATGTATAAAAGTGAAATTTTGTTGGAAGTGTATCAATAATTCTGTATGACATCTTGCTGGGGAAAATGAATCCCTGACTGGTGCTGAGGATGAAGAACACGTGTGATCTTCAACCTTGTCTAGAATGCTTCCGCTGGGGAATGTTGACTTCCGTTTGGGGAGAAGAGTTCAAGAACATTGGTCGTTCATCACTGTGATACGGTAGGGGAACTGACTTGAGGTTTTGCGTTTGTGTTCGCAAATGTTTCGGTTTAGCAAGAGTCGCCACCGACTTTTTATTTTATCCAAAGGAAAGGTCAAAAAGCACAGGAAAGACCTTTGAGATGTTTTCTTGGGTTCGGGGAGTAGATTATGAAAAGGGAAGGTGAAAGCACCCTTTTCATCCATGGTTATCCATGGGCTCTTAGTTACTTGTTTAGATCACTTGCTTTTGCTTTTCAATTATTTGAAATGGTGCTTTGTAAGTGGTTTTGAAAATGTTTTGAAAAGAGTCCATTGTTGTGGAAACCTTTGTAGTGATTCTTGTTTGAATATATACAAAGGTGTTTGTCTTTTGAAAAGATATCTCAATGTTTGAAAGTTTGATTTGGGAAATGTTTTGAAATTGTGTTGTGAGGTGTGTTTGAAAATAGCAAGGATGTTTTTGCAAGTTTTGATCAAGTAACTAAGAGTTGTCTACCCTATTTTACTCAAAGAGTGTTTCCTACACATTTTTAACCCTTTTGACAGTGTTGTTTTACCATTGCATTTGGTAAACAACCTTGTGTTTGGATGTTAAACGGGACAGGCGCGGGTCATCGTATTGACCATGATAGCAATTGTGCTAAGTATCTTTAGCAAATTTTTGAGGGACTAGATCATTTTGTATAGGCAACCAAGATAGCGTCATCGAGGGACTATGATATTTTGTTTTGTTTTTGTTTTTCCAAGATACTAAACATTCATAACATGGCCATTTTAAAGGCAACAAGTGGATGAAACTCTAGGAGTGCATGTGTGCATTGTGTTGTCAATTTTCATGCTTTTTGTCTTTGTATTAGTCAAGCTATTTGTTTTGATTTTGGACATTTGCATACCAACCCTAATCTCTAACATGGCATATTTGAAAGCATAAAGTGCGTAAAATAAATCTACACTATTACAACATTTGATATGGGAAGGGGGGTACAATTTTTGAATAGGGATTATTTTGCAAGAAATTAAAACCCTAATATTTACTATTACATCCAAATTGAATAAATGGTACAAATAAATAAATTGGCAAGTATATAAATGGTCAATTAAATAAATATGCAAAATATTATGAATATGCAAAAAAATGTTTTTGTTTGTTTTTATGTATGTAAAAATAAAGTATTTAATGTATTAAAAAAAGAATTGTAAGGTTATTATTTTTTATTAAGGGTAAAAACCCTAATTTTCTTTAAGAAAGTAGATTTATTAATATTATTTATTTATGTACAATAAAAAATAAAAATATATCCAAGTGTCAAAAATAGAAAAAATATTATTTTTAATAAGGGTGGAAACCCTAGTTTTTATTTTAAGATAATATATACTATATTAATTATTTTGTGTACAAGAAAATAAATATAAAAATATACAAATATTTAGAAAATAATAATATATGAGAAAATATCATTTAAATATATAAATACTAAAAAATACAATATTTTTATGTATTGTTTACAAGCTTTTATTTGAGAAAACAAATAGTATATCTAACTAATAATTATTTTCATGTTAGAAAAATAAAATAAAATATAAAAATAAAAATGAAAATTTATGAAAAATGATTTTGGTATTTTTTATGTTTAGAAAGTATAAAATAAAATAAGAAATGAAAAATAAATAGAAAAATATAAACAAATAAAGAAATGGGCCAGGGGGGTGCAGTCAGCAATGCAGGGGGTGCCAAAAGTGAGAAAAAAAGGCCCAGCCCAGTGTTGCACCCCAAAATTTGCCCTCCTAATTTCCTTTATTTTGGCTTAGACTTTTGCATTTATCTACATCTATTTCATTAGGTCACTAACATGGCATACATTTCATTCAATATAGCTCTGAGGTTCAAAGTTCAGTGGTTGTGTGATACTAGGGTTTCATAGTGGTTAAGGCGCTCATATCCAATAAAGGACTTCTTCTCCCTCAAGCAGCAAGGCTATTATCTTCTGATAAATAACCGATTGTAGGTCATTCTGGTCAAGAACTCTAGGACGTGACCTAGCATATGTGGGCTTCGAATCATGACGTCCTTTCCTATAAGTATGCTTGTCATTTGATTAGGATTAATGACTATTACATGACAATCGTCTACTCCTCAGTTAATCAAATTAGGTTTTATTGAATCATGGTTCAAAGATGTTTTATCCGGATATTTCTCTGTGCGTCTGAACGAGGAATCAAGATTGTGACGGTTTCACATCAAGGGAATTCTTCTGTGATTCAGACTTTATCATCCATCTGTAAGATGTTCCTTATGACACTAATCTCAAGTTGAAATAACCGATCGCTAAGGGCTGAGGATTGAATTGTGAAGCGTGGTTCATGACCTAAGATATGAATTCATAGATTTCTCCTTAACCAAGGCAATCATTGTCCTCATCATTGTCATTTGTTATCTGCGATGCGAGTAGGTTTGGATTGAAGTAGGTTTCTCATAGAAGAATTCGTGCAAGGTAATTCAAGGTTCAAGACATTCAAGGCAGGGTTTGTTCAACATGGCATACCTGGTTGATGGGCTTACAAGCTCTTATGAGACCTTGAGATGCATAATCATGGGCCAATTTCAAAGATATGTGGATAAGATCTGTTGACTTCAGTTAAAGTAAGCTTTGAAAAATTAACTTTGGGACCAAGGTCTCCCTTGAATTTTCATCTAATATGTGTTGGGAATTCGAGTTGCATTTGAAGAATGGTATGGTAAAGGAAAAGAAATATTGGTTCAGAAAAGAAAAAACTCATTAAAAATCAGGGTTTCTATTCATTGATAAAAGTTCAAGTAATTGAAGATCAGGGAAAATAAGGTTTCATATTAATCTTGATCATATTCTTTCATTATCATTTACATCCATCTTTGATGATTTAAGGTCGTCAATTAGGGAAGGACTCGTCGAGATAAGGAACTTATGGATTAAAGGTCGTCAAGGTTGTGAATTTTTAGGATCAAGATCTTATTGGCTATTCAAGTTATTTGTCATTCAAGTTGATTTGGGATTCAAGATTGAAGTTAGGAGTTCATTGAGAATGCAAGTGTGATTTGGATTTGAAGTTTGATTTAAATTCAAGATGTTCGAAAGTGTTTGATTGGATTAAAATTGGCAAAGAGCTTTAAGTATTGGTCGTATGAGTTTCTTGGAAGGTAAAATACAGACTGCAAGGTCTTATTTCAAGTCGGAGTTCATACGCATTACAAATATGTTCATCGTTATTCCATTCAATTTCATTCTCATTCATGGTTCAAGAAAATACTATCCAATTCCATTCAATTTCATTCAATTGTAACAACACCCCACAAGAAAATTTGATGCTTTCATATCTTCAAGCATTTTTTTCAAGACTTTGTCATTTAAACTCCGTCCAAAAAAAAATCCATCACCCGACATTTCAAGCTCAAAGTCATTAATAATTCACACTATAAATTTCAAGTTCATCCAAATCAAACATTCATTATAAAATCATTACAATCCCATTACACCAATATTCTACAAAGAAAAGAAAACGGTTACAAAATACACTTGAACAAAATTCCTTAGTCCTAAAGTTGTTAAAATTCCATGAGTAAACTTCCAATTCCATGCCATGCCAAAGTTCTTCACCTTCAATTCATGACCTGCACATTCATACAAAAAAATCCAAGTCAATACAAGCAATCATGCCATCATATCAGGTTCTCGAAGGCATATTGATTACCTGCTTAGAGATCAACAAAATCTTTTTAGTTCGATAGATGATTTCTTGTGGTTCAAATTGTCGGCTGTACGGGACTGCCCAAGTGGATCTTCATCCCTTGTTCTAAGTGACAGTGTGATTCCATACACTTTGGATGATTTGCAAAGTTACCTGAATAAATTTGAATCATCATACTATACAAAAAATGGAATAAGAATCATCTAGAAACTCATCACAAGAACAAGGCTCAGGCTCAGGCTCAGTGCAAGATCAAATCATCTCTCTAATTTCACTGTAAAATTAGATTAATAACCTACTTCTAATTTCAGCTTCAAGGTAACGTGTTGGATGAATTTGTTGAAACGGATGATAAGATAGCGCTCCATGCTGATGACAAACTTAAGAACCAGTTTGCAATATAATCTGATAGTAAGAAATTACTGAGCTATATATTGTATCAAAAGTAACATTAAACTGCCGATTACCTGAGGAGCTATTGTACTCAAGGTGAAGAGCAATGCTCCCAAATCAGAACCAGAAAGAAAGAATGGTGGAAAAGGGTCCATGGTCTTGCAAACCTGAAGATCTATTTTCTCCGTGTAATTGTGACTCAGGAAAAGAACAGAAAAGGCCAGCATTGCCAAGTATGTATGAACGTTGTTTTAAGAGCAGAAATATAGATTCTAGCAGTGGTGAGCTTTGTGCAAATGATAGTATTTTAGGAAACAAGAGTTTGATGGAGGATGATAGTGTGTCTCAATATTCAATTAATCATATATCTCAACCTGACAACGAGCTTAGCTTTCTTGATACTGATAGGTGGCTTGATATAGACAACTTTGAAGATGTTGACGGGATGATGTTAAATTATGACTCAACTTTTGGAATGGGGAGCCTCAATAATGAAGATGAATTCTGCTGGCTCTCTTCATCACATGGAACTGAAGGACCCGTTGGCGATGCCCTGAAATGTGAGTTCAAGTTTTCACCTACTGATGCAAGTCCACTGAAAAGTATATCAGAATCAGATTATAATATGGATCTGAAGGACAATATTGAAGGTCTGCCAATTCTTGATTGTGACAAAAAAACATCTCCTTTTGATATAAAACTGAGGTGTGAAATGGAGGTTGATCTTGACGCAGTTCCTACTTCATTGTCAACATTTGGGGAATCAGATATGACGTCGGGTATTACAGATGACTTGATGCCTGAACAAAAGATACAAGGGCAACTGTTAAAGCAACCAGTTCAGCCCTGCATAGAAAGATTGAAAAGAAAAAATCAATAAACAATTAACAGTTCAGTTCTAAGAAATTGTAACAAAGCAGAATTCTAACCATTCCAAAACAGATTACTAACAGAATTCCTCTTAAACTAACTTGTAACCATAACAAACTTCTAACCAAAATTTCTAACAGAATGCAAAATTTTCTAACTAACTCTAAACAATTACTAACTCCTAACCAATTCTATAACTAACTCTAGATAACCAACTAACAATAACTAACTGCTTTCTAACAGTTTTTTAATAGCTATATAACAGGGGGAGATTCATTATTTTTTAACATATACATAATAGATTTAACTATAGAAACTTACCAATTCACATTGATTCTGGAACTTGCAGAAGAATCCCATAAAAAAATTATCTCTTCTCCTCTCATCTTCATTCTTCAATTCTGCAAAAAGAACATTCAACCTTCTCTCTGCTCCTCTAACCTTCATTATTCAACTGGAAGAAGAACCACAAAATTCTCTCTTCTCTTTTCATCTTCATTTCTTCAATTGGTGGAAGAATCACCATCATAAAAAACCATAAAAACTCTCAGTTCTCTCTCTGCTTCAAGCATAATCTTCATCTTCTCTCATCTGTTCTTGATTTCTGAGAAGGATCTTTAAACTCCAAAATCCTTAAGGCTCTCTACAAAATGTATTCATCATCATCACTACCAACCTTCAATCTTCAACAACCTGATATCATCATCTTCATCACTGCACCATCAATCTACAAATCACATATTAAACAACATCATCATTTCTCTGCAGAATTTATGTAAATCGTAACACAACAACAACATCTCATGCATCGTAACAGATCGACAATAAAAAGCGCAAAAGAAGAATCAAATACATACAGAAGAAGAAGAATATAGTGAAGAATTTACCTCTGGACTTCTCATCTTCGCCGCTATGGAAGAGTCACCGGAGTTCTCCGGTCGATAAGTCTCATCCATTCCATTAGGCATTTTCAGTTTTGTGTTTGAAAGCATTAATCAAGAGCTTATAAATCATCACTGAGACTGCGAGTAAAATAAGATAGAGGTGTTCACCGTGACGGTGAAGTTGATTGGTGAAGAGGTATCAGATGAGGCGGAGGCTTGAGTTTGGTCGGTGTTGTGTTAGAGAAGAGGTATCAGATGAGGCGGAGGCTTGAGTTTGGTCGGCGTTGTGTTAGAGAAGAGCACGACTAAAGCGGAGATGATAGAAGGTTGAGCCGCATCAGAGAAGATGAAGGGCGGCGAGTTTGAGATGGCAGGCGCTGCATTTTGTATCAAAGAGAAGACCGAGACTCACCGGGGCGCTCCGTCGTTGCCGACTCACGAGGAATGATGAAGAGCAAGGTCGAAGCGCAGAAAAGGACCGCCATTTGCGACAGAGAAGCCTTCCGGCGGCGATTCAGATGGGAGCGAGAGAGATGAATCCTTCTCTTTTCAACCCTAAACAACGACGTCACCAACCTTCACCCTCTTCCTTTTCTTTTTTTTTTATTATTAATTATTTATTTCATTTTAATTAATTTTCTTTTTTTTAAAATCTAAATAAAAATCAATAATGCTGAAAATGTGAATTGGTTGTGGAATTGGGCTTATTCTGGATCAGATCACCTCCCTCCGAAGCCCATCAGATGTTTTTTTTTGAAGCCTACAGAGATTAGAACAAAAAGATGATTATTGGATTTTTTGGCAATAGGCCCAATATCATTTTTTATTGATTTAGTTGTTTGTAAGTAAAAAAACTGGTTTGTAGATTCAACCAGATGGACCCTAGCGCCCAAGCCTTCTAGTGGCCATACTCCTGGATTTCGGTCTATACCCCCTTCCGACTGGAATTCTAGTTTATTTTTTTTCATTAATTTCCTTTCCATAATTTTTGATAGTCAAAATTAATCATAAAAACCAAAAGAAATTTGTTAATTGTTTTTTTTAGGAATATAATATAATTTCTCTAGATTTTTCTTCTTTTAGAATTTTGTTAGAATTTTATTTTATGATTTATGGTTAAGTAATCATTTCATTTCCGATGCTTCATACTTCACCTTTTGCTTGTTGAGGTCTAAAATCTCATGCAGGTTTATTGTGCAATATTTGGATGCGCTTGAAACTTCGATTGTGATTTATTTTCACAATCGATGATGCGTCAACGCTTATTCCGGGCATTTAGTTTCTAACTCTTCTCTTTGAATGATAAAGCTTTCGCGAAGATCGTCGATTTTCTTTGTTTTTGTTCTCCTTACTACGGATTGATATCCGTTTGGTATTTTCTCTCGTCCATCTTATTTCACACTTTACTGCTTTTCTAGAAATCATGAGAAATTGGGTCTTACCGTATTCCATGTGCATGCTAACATTAGGTAGATGTTTCCCTTTCATTCATCCTTGACTTAAGTCTAACAACGCATGATAAAATTAGGTTTAGAAGTAAGCTAGTCTTCATGTAACTTTCTTTCCCCCTTTACATATGCATTTAAAACAAAAAACTTCTTTTTCTCGCAAAACTTCAAAAACACATAAAAATTTACTGACGAGAATCATATCTTCATTAATTATGTGAGACGATAAGCGGGTCTCTTCTCGACCTTATTGATCTCTTGTTCTAAGCTTTGGTGTGGTTCAAGTCTCAAAGACTCATTTCATGAATAAGTAGAGACGTGGCTAAAATCTCTCCCTTGATATCAACTAGCTATTATCTACAAGCAAAAATATCAACCAATAAAATCCTTTTTTCCTTCGGGCCTTCCTTTCAAAAAAACCCTTTTTCAAAAGAGCATATTAATTCACTTCTGTGCTGACGCGTAAGTCTCCAAAGGTCGATTTGCGACAGAAGGCGAAATTAATATCATTCATTCAAAAACAAACAAGTTCAAACCTTTTTTGTGCGTCCAGGCACATTTGTTTCCAAACTTTTCAAGAGAATATGTTAATTCACTTCTGTGCTGACGCGTAAGTCTCCAAAGGTCGAGTTGCGGCAGAAGGCGAAATCAATATTGTTCATTAAAAAAATACAAACAAACAAAAACATATAAGCCGAACTACGGCTGCTCTGATTCCTTAAAAGGGATACGTAGGCATCGGGGTAGGGCCCGAACGAGCACAACAATTTTATTTTCCCTACATTCTTTTCTCCTTTCTTTTGCATGCATTCCTCCAGTAGTATAGTAAACAGTAAGCATAGATTAAACACACCCATAAGATAGGTAACAAGAGTGGATACCGTAGAGTACTACGGGCGTGTGGGGTGCTAATACCTTCCCCTCGCGTAACAGACTCCCTTACCCTTATCTCTCGGTCGCAAGACCTTGATTTCACCCTTTTCAGGTTTCCTCGATGTTTACCTTTCCCTACATGTGGGATAAAAGACGTTCGATGGCGACTTCATTGTTTTGATGATTTTCAGCCGGTTGTTTCAGCTGGCGACTTCACTGGGGAGAGGTCGACCAAATGCTGGTCCATCCCGGAGTCGCTCCTAGCTCTTGCTTTCTTTTCTTTGGGTGTCTATTTTTATGCTTTCAGTTTACTCATTTGTACATGTTTGCCTGAGCATAAGTTTGCATTGCATTTTATTGCTTTCCCTATTTGTTATCTATTATGTTGGACTCTGTTTTCCATGTTGGGTGGGGATATCACTATTGAGGTAAAAGGCCCAGTACCCAGGCCAGAGTGAACTAGGACACCTAGGAATAGAGTGGGGGCATGACGGCTATAGGACGTGGTCCGATTGGTGCAGTCATGTCATATACCACACTCGGATGAGGTTCAATTGAAGGTACTTTCATCATGCACGTCTGTGTTGTGATGATTTTACTTTCAGGAGGACCCGTGATTTTCGAGTTACCATTGTCTTACCCTGACCTAGTCTTCACCCGTGAGCGGGGAGGGAATTTTATCACAGGTACAGTTGGTGACTATGTTCAAATGGTTACTCGTACAGTTGGTGACTATGTTCAAATGGTCACTCGTGCTCAGTTGGTGACTATGTTCTGATAGTGACTGTTGTTCTGTTGGTGACTATATGGGTCTCAGATTTTTTTTTTCTGGATTCGGTATTCAGGATGCTTATCTAGTTATGTTCCGGACCTTTGATCCTGATATATTCCACTTGGTCAGAGATTATACAACATTTAATCATGGTACTTGGTTCCATTGTATGCTGAATTTGGTTCTGAACCTTTGATCCTGTGATATCCATATTATTCAGCAGATTTATACAGCAGTTATCCAGAGGATTGTACAATTGTTATGCTGAACTTTTGAACTTATGTCATTGCACCTTGCATCATAACATGTTTATTTTACACAAAAAAGGAAATGTGAAAGATTATATGCAAAAAAAAATGTTTGAACATGGCATTGCATCCGCTCATTCACCTCATGCATCCATAGCAGGTACTCCGAAGGTATTCAGAAATGGGGAATCCTTATTCAGACTAGGTATTTTCTTTTCAGAGCTGCAAATCTTGACTTCTCGTCGCTTCGTGGTCAGATTCAAGATATGGAACAACTTCGTGGGGAATTGGACGAGATGAAAGAACAAATGGGATTCGTGGTGCTAGACATGCAGGATTTGGTCCGTGGACAAGAACTCCTGAAAGAAGAGAACATTCAGTTGAAGACTCAATTGAATTTGGTTATGGAAATTTTGGGGACAATGTTGAAGAAAGAAGATGTTCCTATGCCTGCCACAATAGGAGTTACCATTCCTCCCCATAACCTGAGGACTCTTGTAGGTCAGGGAGTATCTCCTCCGCAACCGTGCATTCCAGGATCCTCCCATCCGCAACAAGTTGTCACTTCCCGAGAGGACCCAAAAGGCAAAGTCCGTCAGCAGAGGCCAAAACAGCCTGAACGAAAATTTGATCCTATTCCAATGTTGTATGCACAATTGCTTCCTCCCCTGCTAGAATTACATTTGGTCAAACTCCGAATTTTCACTACACATGAAAAACGCCCTCATGGCTTTGACGACAATGCTAGGTGCGATTTTCATTCTAGGACACCTGGTCATGATACT